TCTTGGTTCCGCCAAAGCAAATATTGGGCATGGAGAGTCAGCATCTGGTGTAACTGCACTTCTGAAGGTGCTTCTAATGATGAAGAAGAATACCATACCCCCTCATTGTGGTATCAAGACTAAGATCAACCACAACTTCCCCACGGATCTCGCACAGCGCAATGTCCACATTGCCTTCCAACCTACACCCTGGAACCGACCAGCCTCAGGAAAGCGGCAGTGCTTCATCAACAATTTTTCGGCGGCTGGTGGAAATACCGCTCTTCTGCTGGAAGATGCTCCAATTCCTGAGGTTAAGGGACAGGATACTCGATCTGTTCATGTTGTGGCTGTGTCGGCACGATCCCAGAGTGCACTCAAAAATAACATCAACTCTCTCGTAAAATACATTGATGAACAAGGAAGGTCATTCAATGTAAGCGAGGCAGAGTTTATTCCAAGCCTGGCATACACCACCACAGCACGGCGTGTCCATCACCCGTTCCGTGTCACAGCCACCGGATCCAGCTTGCAGGAGCTGCGTGACTCCCTTAATAACAGCTCTCGCCAGGAAAGCTTCAGCTCTGTTCCTGCGACGGCCCCTGGAGTAGGGTTCGCGTTCACTGGCCAAGGAGCCCAGCACACCGGAATGGGAAGGCAACTGTATGAAAAATGCTCTCAATTTCGGACAACAATGCAGCATTTTGACTGCATCAGCCGAAGCCAAGGATTTCCTTCAATCCTTCCTTTGGTTGATGGAAGCGTACCCGTGGAGGAGCTGGGCCCTGTCGTGACACAGCTCGGTACCACGTGTCTTCAGATGGCTTTGGTCAAATACTGGGATTCACTGGGTATAAGACCTGCATTCGTCCTTGGGCATAGCCTTGGAGAGTTTGCTGCCTTGAATACAGCAGGTGTATTGTCGACTTCCGATACTATCTACCTCTGTGGTCGTCGGGCTACGCTCCTTACAGAAAACTGCCAGACTGGAACGCACGCCATGCTGGCAGTCAAGGCTTCATACCCACAGGTCAAGCAGTTGCTGAAGGAAGGTGTGGATGAAGTTGCCTGTGTCAACTCACCCAGTGAGACCGTTGTCAGTGGCCTTACCGCCGATATCGATGACTTGGCTCAAAGGTGTTCCACTGAAGGCTGGAAGTCTACTAAGCTAAGGGTGCCGTTCGCTTTCCATTCTGCGCAAGTTGCCCCAATTCTTGAACAGTTTCAAGAAGAAGCCCAGGGTGTCACGTTCCGTAAGCCGTCGTTACCGTTTGTCTCCTCACTTCTGGGAGAAGTCATCACAGAATCTAATTACGATGTTCTGGGAGCTCAATATATGGCGAAACAGTGCCGGAGGTCGGTGAACTTCCTTGGAGCTCTGGAGGCCACCAGATATGCGAAGTTAATGAATGATAAGACTGTCTGGCTTGAAGTTGGTGGCCATACCATTTGCTCTGGTATGATCAAAGCAACATTCGGCCCTCAAGTTACCACCGTGGCGTCTCTTCGCCGAGAGGAGAATGCATGGAAGGTCCTCTCCAATAGTCTGTCGGCCCTTCATTTGGCTGGCATTGAGATTAATTGGAAAGAATATCATCAGGATTTCAGCTCCAGCCACCAGGTGCTCCCGCTTCCTTCCTACAAGTGGGATCTCAAGAACTACTGGATACCCTACACCAATAACTTCTGCCTTACCAAGGGTGCTCCTCAAACTGCAATTCAAGCTGCACCACAAGTTACATTCCTGACAACTTCTGCACAAAGGGTTGTTGAGAGCCGCGACGATGGTAAAACAGCGACTGTCGTGGTACAAAATGACATCGCTGATCCCGAGTTGAACCGTGTTATCCAAGGCCACAAGGTCAATGGAGCCGCACTTTGCCCATCGGTAAGTAATACATGCATGGCCAGACTATCATTATAACCCAGCCACTTACATTCTGTACAGTCACTTTACGCGGATATTGCCCAGACGCTTGGAGAATACCTCATCGAGAAATACAACCCTGAGTTCAAAGATCTTGGTCTCGATGTGTGTGACATGGTCGTGCCGAAGCCACTCATCGCGAAGGGAGGGGAGCAGCTCTTCCGAGTCTCTGCTACTGCCAACTGGGCTGAAAAGAAGGCTTCAGTTCAAGTATATGCTGTCAATGCTGACGGCAAAAAGACCGTGGACCATGCGCATTGCACGGTGAAGTTCTTTGATACCAGTGCCTCCGAGCTCGAGTGGAAGAGGATCTCGTACTTGGTCAAGAGAAGCATCGACAGTCTTCACCAGAATGTGGAAACAGGGGAGGCTCACCGTATCCAGCGAGGAATGGTGTATAAGCTTTTCAGCGCGTTGGTCGATTATGATGACAACTACAAGTCAATCCGCGAGGTTATCCTGGACAGCGACAACAATGAGGCCACGGCTCGTGTCAAATTCCAAGCGCCGCCAGGCAATTTCCATCGAAACCCATTCTGGATTGACAGCTTCGGTCACCTGTCTGGTTTCATCATGAACGCGAGCGATGCGACCGATTCTAAGAGCCAAGTATTTGTTAATCATGGGTGGGATTCGATGCGTTGCCTGAAGAAGTTCTCACCTGATGTCACTTATCGCACTTATGTGAGGATGCAACCATGGCAAAACAACATTTGGGCTGGAGACGTCTACATCTTTGAGGGTGACGATATCATTGCTGTCTTTGGAGGTGTCAAGGTTGGTACCTCACTACTGCTTTTTGGTTTCCCTTTTACTGACATGATGAATAGTTCCAAGCACTGGCACGCAAGATACTTGACACCGTTCTTCCTCCTGTTGGAGGCTCAAAGGCACCGATTGCAGCCAAATCACCACCCCCAGCTCCCACTCAGAAGGCCAACACAGCTGCCAAGGCCCGTCCCAAAGCGCCCGTGCCATCCAAGTCCTTCACCAAATCTTCTGGGCCGAGTGTGGTCGTACGCGCACTCAGCATTCTAGCCCAGGAAGTTGGTCTGGCAGAGTCTGATATATCAGACGACCTGGTGTTTGCGGACTACGGTGTAGATTCGCTCCTCTCCCTAACAATCACTGGCAGGTATCGTGAAGAGTTGAACCTCGATTTGGAATCTTCTGTGTTCACCGATCACCCAAGCGTCAATGACTTCAAGCGGCTCATCGCCCAAGTGAGTCCTTCAGAGAGCCATGATGGATCTTCCAGTGAACAAGAGTCGAACTTCTCTTTCAACGGTGGCGAGTCTTCAAGCGCAAGCACTCCTGAGATCACATCACCGCCGAATGAGAAGGTACCTCAGGTTGAGCAAAACGACACCATGAAGGGAATTCGTACCATCGTGGCGGAGGAGATCGGGGTGTCCGCGGAAGAGATCGACCCTGAAGAGAACTTGGGAGAGATGGGAATGGATTCGCTTCTCTCCCTGACTGTTCTCGGAAGAATACGAGAGACTTTGGACATGGACTTGCCAGGGGAGTTCTTCATCGAAAACCAGACCCTCAATGATATAGAGGTGGCTTTGGACCTAAAACCCAAGACGGCCGTCCAGCCAACTCCCATGCCAGAGCCAGTCAAGTTCTCTGACGCTATCCATGACCTTCAGCCAAAGCTTACTCAACATCCCAAGGCCACATCCATCCTGTTACAAGGAAACCCCAGGACAGCAACAAAGACGTTATTCTTGTTCCCCGACGGCTCTGGCTCAGCTACATCCTACGCCACCATCCCGGGACTCTCTCCCGACGTCTGCGTGTACGGACTGAACTGTCCTTACATGAAGACACCTGAGAAGCTCAAATGCAGCCTGGACGAACTCACTGCTCCCTACGTAGCAGAGATTCGTCGTCGGCAACCGAAGGGTCCCTACAGCTTCGGCGGCTGGTCAGCAGGAGGCATCTGTGCATACGATGCAGCACGCCATCTAATGTTCGAGGAAGGCGAGCAAGTCGACCGCTTGCTTCTCCTTGACACGCCATTCCCCATTGGGCTCGAGAAGCTGCCGCAGAGATTGTACGGCTTCTTCAACACGATCGGCCTCTTCGGCGAAGGTAAAACGGCACCACCCTCCTGGCTCCTCCCTCACTTCCTCGCCTTTATCGACTCTCTTGATGCATACAAGGCCGTGCCCCTTCCATTCACAGACGCCAAATGGGCCAAGAAATTGCCCAAGACCTATATCATCTGGGCTAAGGACGGTGTTTGCGGGAAGCCGGGAGACCCCCGGCCTGATCCCCCGACGGACGGTTCCAAGGATCCCAAGGAGATGATCTGGCTTCTCAATGACCGGACCGACCTGGGGCCTAACAAGTGGGATACATTGGTCGGACCTGAGAATATTGGTGGAATCACGGTAATGGAAGATGCTAATCATTTTACGATGACGAAGGGCGAAAAAGCGAAAGAGTTGTCTAATTTTATGGCTAACGCCATGGCTTAAAGATTGATGAACCTGATTATATTCTCTTTTTATTATTATATTGCACTTATTTTTTTCTCTCGTTTATATGGCTTGGTTCTGTTGTCGGTCTCATGTTTTTGATACACAGGGATTAAAGCACTGTCATACAATAACTAATGTACGGTAATAATTGTATGTAATCAATCATTTATACATTTTGGAACCACGAGACATCTTCATGTAGCATAAACAGTACTAAAACAGCCTATATATTGACTAATCGCTGGTATTGGATGCTAGGGAAGTAGAACAGGACGAAAATTGCAATCAAATCGAGCAATGTAGCCATTAGGATGATGTACATTGATAGATAGAATCCAATTCAAAATCTAACGTAGACAACTTGAGAAGGGGCGCAGGGTCCAAACACAAAAAAGAGATAAAAAAAAAAAAGAAGGGAAAAAGGGTGCAGGCATACAAAACGCCCAGACAATGCAAAGTCATTGACGAAAGAAAAGCATCGGATTCACGCCCCTTCTATGTAAACGTCATAGCACGCAAGAATGAAATCGGTGGAGTCGCTGCAACGTGATAGTAGTTCCACTTAAATCAGTGGGACTGATGCAAAAACAGGTAAGAGCCTCTTAAACAGGCATATCGGAGCTGAACCTCAACGCGCTGCCACGCCCGTTATGACTATTGATTCCTGGGCTCGTTGGACGACTTCCAGCGGCCAATCTCGGACTGCGAGGTTGAGTGCTCGTCGAGCGGGTAGAGGGACGGTTCTTGCGGATTTCCCGCAGCTCATCTTCTTTTCGGCGTAACAGATCTTCACGAGATGCTAGAGCAGTTTCCAATTCAGAGATTCGAGAGAGATGCCGTGCCCCGTCGTTCTCTATATTGATCTCTCGTAGGCGACTAGCATTACCAGCAACCTTATGCTTTAATAACTCGTTCTCTTCTCGAAGTTGGCGGACCTCGTTCCCGGCTTGAGCCGCCATATTAGAAGCATTCTGGTACTGCTCGCGAGTGTATTCGGCTTGCTTGGCCTCGTATTCTGCCTTCCGTTCCAAGCCGGAATTTTCTTGTGTGAGGCGCCGAATATCTTCCCGAGCCATCTCCAGCTCTGCTACAGCACCTCCTCCAGTTTTGATCTCCCCCCTGGCCTGCTCGAGATCATGCTTTAGCTGGGTACGCTCATCCTTTAGTTTGCCAATATCCTCTCTTTGCTTTTCAATTTTCTGCTCTGACGTGACTTTATATTCGGCTAGCTGATCCCGCTCCCGGCGAATTTTATGGAGGTCTTTAGTTCGAGTTTCATAGCGATGCTGGAGCGACTCGAGTAGTTTTTCTCTCTCCTGCAAGCGGGATTGCATGTCGGTTAATGCATTCTGGAACTTCTCAAGTTCAGCCGCATGTGCTGCTCTCATCTGCACGAGATTCTTCTCCAATGCATGCAGACCGCTATCCAGGGTTTGACTTGGAAATTTCGTTGATTCGGTAAGTTGCGTGTTATCCTGTGTCATTTCCATCCTTGGCCTTTTAGCCGTATGCTCTCCCGAGTCTTCCATAAATACACGCTTTTGAGCTTGTGTGTTGGGGTTTGGAGTACCGGCAACAGTGGTCTGGGATTGAGCTTCAAGTTGAACAGATAACAGCTCATCCGAGCTCACGATGTGCAAAGGTTCAATAGAGGTTAAAGGCCAGCTGAGGCTGAAGTGATCCGAAGAAAGCCAAGGCAATATCTCTTCCACGTCTTCACGTACACCAAGGGCATCGTCTTGCAAATCACCTACTATATTACGGAGACGAACGGTATATTGAATAATCGACTGTAGGCGTTGAAGCTCTGGAGGATCCGGGAAACAAAGCTCAATGTGCTCACTGGAGTTTGAGACAAGGAGTCGAATAATGGGAAGTAGGTTGCCATGACGAGCAAAGGTGGTTCGCATATGCTCGACCGAAGGGCTCTTCACATTTAAAGACGAGTCCAGTGCAATGATTGCAGAGGGTGATTTATAGGTCTCAGTTATCCCCTCACTGTGTGTAGATTGGATCCCCAAACTCAAGGAACCTTTCACTAGGGAAACCTCCAGATTGGTACCAGACCCCATTTCCTCACGAGGCCGAGTATATGCGAGACCTTTGCCCATTAGGTATCGCTCAACCACTTTTTGGGTTTTCTCTCCCTGTACCATAATCACCAGATGGATATCCCGGTTACATGCAACTTCCACAAGGTAGCCTAGGAATAAAAATTTTGCGCTGGAATATTCAGCCCAAGCTGCCTCCTTTCTTAGATCTGAATCCGAATCTTTGATATGCTCTGCGATATTGAGGTCGGGGTGCGTGGTAACGTTACTTAGACTTCCTAATATCTCGCGCATTCTTGACACAAGGCGTTCTTGCCCGTTAGACATCCCTGAAGTGCTGGGCCCTCTAAGAAAATCCCGAATACCCTGGGTTTCATCCATCAGGACTCGTTCGTAGTCATCTTTGACTCTGGAGTCCATTGGAAGTGGCACGGCGAATTCAGACGGACCGAGATGTACTGATCCGGCAGGGACTTCTTCGGTATGGGTGACCGTCAAGGCACTTGGTTGAATGGTTTGTATGCTTTGTTCTTCATGTGACATTTCTTCAAGTGGTTCCGATGAAGCGGGATTCATTTCTGGCTCAGTGTGATGAACAGTGGGTTCCTTGTCAACTCTAACACTGAGAGGTGCGGCTGTTTCGGGGACGGATACAGGCGCTACGGGCTCGATATCTTCCACAGATGATGGAGTCACGCTCACATCAATAGCCTGTAGAGAATTCGCTTTTGCGCTCAACTGGGCGTATGCATTTCTCATTTTCTCCCTCGGAGTTGCTCCTTCATACTGACTATACTTCTCCATGGTTTCAGCCAACGACGGTACTTCCTTCTTTTGGTTATGGTTCTCCATGCTTCCAGTAGACATCATGGATACTTTATTACTCTGCCGTACAGATGACGGTCTCTGGCCCCGGGGTTGAATGGGAGAATTTATGGATCCCTGTGATGTACTCGGGTTTGATTCTGATACAGTAGACCTCAATCGATCAGCTTTAACGTGGCCTTTGGAGAGACAGCTCCCAGACAGTAATAGCTGTGATACCAAAGAACTAAGCCCAGACCGATAGCCTCCTGATGAGGGGGTGTGTTGTGAATCGACACGTCTCGCCAAAGGATACTGGAACGATTTCTGGCTTTCTAAAACGGCCAGCGTATCAGATGGAGTTTCTGCGATTCCATCCACTTTTCCACAGGTTGGTGTCCCAGATGGCTCTTGGAGGATGGGCGATGCAGTTGACTTTGCCTGTTGAGAACCTTGGGCAGCCTCCGGCGCCAATAGATTGCCAGATCTTGATACTTCACCTTCACTAGCAATAGTTGGAGTGCCTCTGGGACTATGTGTAGTCTGTGTTGCAAGATAACCTTGGACTTCACCAGGAAGTAAATACTCCGATGGAATAGCAGTACTCGAGGTATACTCAAACACACATGCAGCCTCAGACAGTGGGGCTGCTGAGGAAATGGGTCCAGTTAGGTCACTATGGCAGAGTGTGGGGACTGCAATAGGCGTCGTTTGCTTTGACTCTGGGACTTCAGACCATCGATTGGCCTCCAGAGCTGGATGTGGCTCGGTTACAGAATCAGAAGCAACAAATAATGGCGAGCCCTCACGTGGTTCCAAACGCTGGTCAGAAGAGCCGACGGACTTTGCACTATGACCTTGAGAGAATTGAATTGCTGACTGTGTTTCTGAGATTTCAGTCAGATGAGTATCGGCCTGGAACTGGCGATGTCTCTTCTTCTCCTTCCAGACCTGAATTGCAGCGTCGTTGGCGTGTTCCTTTGGCTCCTGGTTATTGTATGCTTGTTAGGTGACACCCACATTCAGGTAGCCTCCTTTAACTATATGGGGTAGTTTATGTAGACTGTGCTCAACTTACCCAACTGGGCGACCAAGGCCCTTCCCAATCAATAAGATACTGAGACTCTGTTTCGTCAAGGATACAGTCGATATACCATTCGTCCTCGGCTAAGGAAGAACTTTCGTTGTTGTTTTCTTCGTCACTTGATATGACGGGGTGCGTGTTTTTGTGCCTCTGTTTCTTATATTTATCTGATGAATAAGAGATCTTGCGCTTGCGCCACATTATGCGCGTCCCGAGAGCATCGCAGAGGTGAAGCAATCCATAGTGGGAAGATGATGTAACAAAGTCGCAGTGAATAGAGATGTAAATGGTGACTACTATTTAGGAAAGTAAGCGCTTGTGGAAGTGAAACGTGATTTGCACAGAGCGCAACAATGAAGAAACTGGAGAAGTGAATGGGAGTATGAAATTCGGTCTGAACTCGGACGACGGGGGATAGCTGCACGGATGATCGCCGACACGTGATATCTTATCAGTGCCCAACTCCACTATGACGGGTGTTTCGCTCTTTCCTCGGTATGGAATGATCTACTACCTGTATCAAGCAGATGCGTTCGACATGGCTCTTAAATTTGTCATCTATTTCTAGTAATGCCCTGGAGGCAGAATACTCGCGGTCATGAAAGTTCGACATGATGTAAGCGTGCTGTTAGTCGTTTCTTTCTCCGTCATATTCATAAATAACGTCACGCCTCCCAGTTCTCCATCACTCGTTGACCTAGTTGTAATCTCCTCTCTCAAGTTTTCGCTGACATCAATCCCAAGGCCCGTAAGGTTCTACTCTACTATTATGATTAGAACCGGATCCTGGTCGTCAAAGCAATGCCGGGTCCAGATCACGAGATCACTATTGGCATCTTTCGTGAGATGGCCAATGACCAGCTGTTCGCTATGCAGGTTAAGAGCGAGGGCTTGATTCAGTCATCGCCAGCGACTAAGCTTGGGAATTGGGACCAAGGAACCAGACGCCTGCTGGGGACCTGATGCCATTGGCGACATCAAGTTTGTGCTTGAAGTCGGGATTTCAGAATCCGCACGACGGCTGGCTACTGACGCTCGGGGATGGCTGGAGACTCCTGGAACTACTGTCACGACTGTCATAACGATGTCACTAGGCAACTGCAATAATGATAATGTGATCGAAAAGCCGATTACAACCAGTGTCTACAATGCTTATCCCATCGGAAGTCGCAGTGTGCCACACAGTGCCTTCCAAACCGCATCAGTCTCGATTTCTCGTCCACCTGGAGCAACTATGCCCACGTTGTTGGCCAGGTAGCGGGGTATATGCAGGACAATAAGGTCGTATATGGGATTATGTCCACTTACAACGAAACAGGTTTTTTGCACCAGGTGCGCGACCCCGTTATGGGTTGGCTATTGGAGTATAGCCCGGCTGTTCGACACCATCATACGTACAGTTATGGTTTTGAAGGAACCATCCACAGAGGCGGAGACGCCAACAGATGAAATCCGCCTCAACTTGGATATGTTTATTGGTCACTCACCTAATGGAGGCTCAGAAGGCGACATTGTCCTGACGAAGAACTTCTTGGATTTGCGGGAAAAGTTTGGCGCCACCAGCGGCTGCGGCGACAGAAATAGCTCAAGAAACACGACCAGAACTAGTATAAGGGGTATGCGCCTGCCTCCACAGCCACAGTTCAAATAACGGCCCTGGTATGTCAGAGCAGCAGCGGACCAGCTGAATGTCCCCAGATTCTATGTGTAATATCTAGTATCTAATAATCTAGTAGCTAATTTAGTATCTACATATACTTCAATCAGAGATGTGCCTGCTCTTTTCTAAATTTCTCAAAATCATAGCCCAGCTGCTCGATGCTTTTGAATTTGTACCGCTCCTCACCCTTTCCAACGAACGTTCTCCTAATCTCAGGAAACAACTGTCGCATCCATCTCTCCCTCTCCCCCCAGTGGTTGCCCTGTTTACCATTTCCGTTGTCGGTCAACCCTTGGCGCGGTTCAGCCCTGCCTGCCCATTCGTATAGTAGATTCATGTAGTCTGCGTCCAATGGGAAATGCAGAAGGTGAAATGCCGTTCCACCCCCCCTTTTAATGACAGTGCCATCCTCCCAAGCCTTCATTTCGGCTGCATCTGGGAGAGTAAGTCGTCCAGACCAGACACGAGCGAAAACAGCAGCCTGGTTCTCAGACACGGGAAAAGGTATTACCCTCTGGGGGAGAACAGGAAAAACGAGTGTGGGGTTGTGGATATAGAACAGATGTTGGTAGGTGTTCAACACCCTCCGTCCATCCGTAATAACAGGAGGGTCCAATGACGATAGAAAGGGGAAAGAGTACAAGTAGCCAGTGCAAAACACGATTGCATCGACATCATCCTCAATTCTACCGTTAGTGAAGCGAACCGCCCTATTGTATTCGGTTGGTGGTAAGAATTCCACAATTTCTGGGACGTAATCCTTGTCTGTGGCGTTGGACGGCATCAGATATGACTCTGTTCGCTGTGACGCGATCACTTTGCCCTTGCTCAATCTGTTTATTTGATTGCCAATATCGACTCCTGATGCAGAACTTCCCACAACGATCACCTTCTTCCCGCGGAAAGGCTCGGGCGAGTCATACAACTTGGAATGGGAGATAATGCCCGGGTAAGCCTCATTCCAGATCTTAATGCCCGGTATATCTGGAGTGTATGGGACATCATAATGTCCACTAGCCACAACCACGGCATCATATGTATCGGTCGTGTCGACCCCAGTTCGCAAATTCTTCGTTGTTACAGCCCAAGCATTTGCTCTATAGCCACTAGATTTGACACTCACAACTTGGGTATCAAGACGAATATAATTTTTCACATCTTCTGCATATTCGTCCAAATACTTCTTCACTGTAGAGTACTTCGGCAACACTTGGACATCGGGGGGAAATGGCTTGTCCCCATAGGCCATTAACTCCTTTGGAATGTTGGTATCCAACGTACTATAGATTGGGGATATAAAAGCTGGCTCTAGCGGCCCCTCGGTTCCTCCTGTGTGATGCCATATCGGTTCATCGCCAGGTTCATTCGGGTCAAGTTGCGGTACAAGCGTTGATGTGCTCTGTTTGAGAGCCGGTGGGGTGTAATTCCACACCCCACCTGCAGAACTTCTCTTTTCGAAAACATCAATCTTGGTGAAGTATTTCTCTGCAAGAAGATACCTGATGAATCGTGAGTGAGACAATTTCAAGATGAGCGTGGTACTACAGATTTGCTTCATACTTCACAGCTGAGAGGCCCGATGGCCCTGCACCGATAACAGCTACCCGGCGGATTTGCTTTGAGATTGTCATGCCGGGCGTCAAGGAACAGCAAGAAAATTTGGCGTCAGGTTTCCAGTTCCTCGAAGTAGCTTGGTTGATGATCAGACAATTGGTTATTTGTTATGAAATTAAATCACCCCGCCGGGCAATGTCGTGATCTACTCCTAGTACTCCGTACTCCGTACTAGATACCACTTTAGGTTACTGTCTAGCATGGGGCTCGGATAACATCGCAAACCTTGGGATAAACCAGGGTTTGGAATTAAAAGAGATAAATTTGTTTTCTTTTCTTCTTAATTGATTATAAACTTTATCGACTTACTTGAGAAGAAGCTCCGTTAACGTATTACGCTATGTAACCATGTTTATGCGGTTACATGAAATACACAAGTTTCCTTCTTCTGATTCCCGAGGCCGGGGACGCCATACGTAATTTTACAGCTCCGATACTGACCAACGCTGTTCCGCAAGCTCTAGATTGTTTGTCAGGTGAGGTCACCCGTACTTTTGCTCTCGCCGCCTTTTGAACACAAGCTATCGCTAAACAAAGCCACTTCTATCTTTATTGTGAATAATACTCCGTCAGGTTACATAGCAGGGGTTTCGGGGCAATGCAGTAGCCATCAGTGATGCTATACCAAAGGTGTAAATCCATTAGCAGCTGCAGTGATGGATGCTAACGAGCAATTTCCGACCTCTGAACCCTTACATGCGAATCGCATCCCTATCGCGCAGCTTTCCCCAACGCTTGAGCGCTTCTCCAAGAGCTCGATCCATGCATCCGTTACTCTTTTGTGGCCCTATTCATCATCGACAAAATCCCTCAGCCTCTTGTTAGCAGAGCCCGACTTTCGCTTGCGTCACTCAAATGGACAAGTAAAGACAGTTTTCCACGGGCATATCGCAGAAAGTGTGGCTAAATCTCAAATTGGAATCGGCGATATAGTTTATTTAAGTCTGGATGGAGCGAGATTGTCGGATAATGTGACAGCACCTGGAGCCCCTGGAAAAAGCGTGGCATGGGATATACATTTCGATGATCGTGTGTTTCTCGAGGTACTGCGAGTGGAAGTCCTCAAGAAAATGTGAGGATCTCACTGACAAAGCGTACAGATTTGGCGGTCATCGAATCATTTGTCAACTGTGAAAGTCGACCCTCCTACCCCCTCACCAAACAATGATACTACAAATGCGCCACCGGCTACCCCCATTTCCAAGGGCTACGATCGCTCTGATCAAAACTTCTCGATTGATGGGTTGAGCTCATGGCAGTCTCCGGCTTTTCTAGGGCGATCGCGCACATCTTTGGGGGGCCTAGCTGATTCAGCATTGGACCCATTCGCCGAGGAGGATGGGTTTGTTCCCGGGAAAGGAAGAAAACGCCCTAGGTTCAGTATGCGCAGCAACGAGTGGCGAGTAATCGATGAACCCGAAAGCCCGGGTGAAAGGGGCGAAGTTCCGGACTGGACACATATTTTCGATGAAGATTGGGAAAGCGAATCAGAGCATAGCCCCGAGGACGCTGCCGAAAAAGAGGAGAGGCCATCGGATGCGACTAAAATGACAAACCCTGAAACAGACTCGGAGGGGGTATCTCTTACTGTTCCAGTCTTAGAGGCTGATGTTGCCATGGAAGACGTTTCGCCGGCATCTTCTACGACAAGTCCGGAACGACATATCGCTCAGGCTGCAGACGGGATAAGGCTTCCTCCACCTGGTGTTTCTGGAATAGCCGGGTTCTCGCGCAAGAGGGGTGTTCTAAATTACTCGGCCCATCTTCCGATAGAAACTCCTCGTCTACACCCTATTCCCTCTCCCGGACTCCCTATTCCTTCGCCGCTCGTTACTATGTCAAACAGTCCACAGGGCTATTTTACACCAGTCACAGCCACGCCGCATTCTCATACCAGCCAGATACCCACAACATTATCTCAAGAGGTGACAGATTCAGAGAATGAAATACCTGGTGCGCAGCCGGATACTTCGCAGAGAGCGAAGTGTAAAGGGACACTCATTACTTCAGAAACAGAGGATCGCGCAATTGATATTTCCGAATTCGGAGCAGAGTCAAATGCTACAAAGATTACCCTTAAAGCTACAAGCCAGCCACATACGATGGCCAATACTGGGTCAGAAGAGCTATCACCAGACGAGGACTCAAAAGTAGCAGCTGAACCTGTCAAAGTCGACCAATTTACCCCACGCATATCTAAGAAGGATACGGGGAGACTTGATGGACATCTAGGAGACACTGATCAATTGAGAAGCCCAAAGAGAGAAGGAAAAGAGGTTGAGGTCGACGAGAACTTCATTGACGCTCAAGTAGAAGCTGAATCCGAAAAAGACAAAGAAGAAACGCATCAGGGGGAAGAAGTGGTCAATGAGGACAAGCTTGAAGATGATGGCCAACAAATAAAACGTATCAATAGAAGTCTTGTTTCTGGGGATACTCAGGTAAGCGGTGTATCCAGGATGGTTGAATATGGTCCTACTGGAAGCGGAGAGGAGGATACAGAGACACTGGAGACATTAAGGAGCTATCATGGCTTGGCTACTAAAAGCGAGACCAACCCACCAGAAATGGATCGTGGGGATCAAACGGAAGCTGTTCATGCAGGAGTGAATGAATGGGAAAGGGAAGGAAGTGAAGATGAATCTGAAGAAGAGCTTGGAGAGGAAGAAGAATCGGAGGGGGAACAAGCTCAAGAGATTAGAAAGACAGACAGGGAAGAATATGCAGACAACAAGGAAATAGAAAGGGACGGCTTGGAAGGTGAATGGGATGATGAAGAGGGATGGTACGAAGAAGAGTTAGAAGAGGAGGAGGAGGAGGAGGAGGAGGAGGAGGAGGAAGAAGAAGAAGAAGAAGAAGAAGCCGAGGATGTGTACGAGGATGAATACGACGATGGTGCTGAATCTGAGATCATATCAGATCAAATGAGCGTTGATACGCCCACCCAGCCGCCTGCCACCAAGAAAATACATCCGGAGGTCATCGTACTAGACAGTGACAGTGAAGATGAAGTTGCGACTGCTTCTCGGGCTTACCCAATGTCCTCATCAAGACAAGAAGCCAGCACACAAGAGATCGAGTCATCCGAACCTGAAGCATCTGCTTCCGAAGAGGGTTGCCTAAGGTCCAGAAGTTCGGACAACTCAGAAAGCTCAGAGGATGAAGAGGGCGAAGATTGGTCCGACGGAAATTCGGAAAGTGAGCAGCTGATGGATAAGAATGAAGAGATGGTGGTGGATGAGTGTGAGCAAGCGAATGGTGAACAGCAAGGAGCAGGGCATGCTATATACGAGGTATCTGACAGCGGAAGGACGAGGGACGAGAAGGTGGATGAGGAATACCAAGCGGAAAACAAAGCAATTGAAGAACCTGAGCTCAAAAGGGGGCAGGTGTCAGTATCACAGCCCACGGATATTGGGGGTGCGAGCCCCGATGCTCATGAGCAACCATCGCCTCAGCATCATCAAGAGGAACATACGATCAAGACACCATCTCAAGCTTCCGACTCGGGGAATCTTGATCATCACTCATTTATCATGTCATTCGTTCAAGAACCTCATCACGACTCGAGAAATGCTTCACACGAGCTGGAAACAGTGATCGATCCGGAGTTGCAAAACACTGGGCTTGGTAAAGAACAAGTAAAGAAAGAGGCGAAAGAAGGGCCTCATTCAGATTCTGTTCATGCTGAGCCTAGGACTGGGGTTTTCGCAAAGATATCTGAGGCGGCCCAAAATACTGCCCAAAGCTCGTTTCTTGACGGTACTTCATTTTCACAAGCATTGCACGATTCCCATGAGGCAGTTTCGGAGAGGCCTCCGCAATTACAGCATTTGGTACCAATGGATACTCAACTGGTAGAACCTGGTCCACCTTCTACGGATTTCACTACAATTGAGATACTTCCCACATCTGAACATACACAGGGAAGTATGACTGCGCAAGTCCAAGGCCAAATGCCACCTGCCATTCAAACTACAACATCTGCGCCAGCGGAACGACATCTCAATCTCGCGGAAGATGTTGAAAACGAAGCACGTCTCGTCTCTACCCCGCAGGAGGGACAGGATGAACTCGAAGACTTTTCCGGGAATGGGGATGTGGGAACACCAGCATCTTTCAGTGGAGACCATGGCCAAGAAGATGACCTTTATTCAGATGATGAATACGTTGGAGATCCAGATGAGGTCCATCTCATTGGAGTAGACCGCCATTATCCCGGCCTGCACAGCAGGCTTTCCTATTTTGCTCCGTTAGCAACGCTTGTCGACCACTATAATGCATTGGTAGATACCATCTCCGTTGTGTCGGAAGTCCAGCCCGTGTTTCGGGCTGCATCAGGAAAGAAGGATTTTATCCTAACCCTTCAACTTACTGATCAATCTATGGCTGGAACCACGCTCTATGCCCAAATTTCCCGGCCTTCCAAAGCAGCACTTCCCTTAGTGGAAGAGGGGAACGTTGTCTTGTTACGCAACTTCAGAGTCAAGAGATTCAGCCGCTCGATAATACTTGCCAGCGTTGATACTAGTGCTTGGGCTGTTCTCAAGGGCTTGGATGATAAAGCACTGGCTCATGATCCTCCAGTTGAATACGGGAGCGAAGAGCAGGCCTGTGCCACTGATCTGCGCCAATGGTACCAAGAAGCTGGCATGGCCATGGTGGCAGATAATCAACTACAAGCCTCTATTAACAGGGAAAGTAGAGAAGGGACACCCACTAGCAGCGCTGCACTTAGCGATTCAGGGAGCATCGACTCGACACCGCGCGACATGCGCGGTGAATCATCTTTCTCGAGCCGGGGTTCACGGCGGGGCAAAAGGTCTCATCGGAGAATAACCATCCATGAGTTAAGGGATGGAAGGAGATACACTGAGGTTGGCTCGCCGTCTGGAAAAGAGAGTATACATGAACTGCGAGACGGAACCGTCTATGCCAATTTGTGAGGAAGACTTGTGTATCGTATTGGATCCATCTTTTCACGCTCAACCGGTTGTTGAGTCTTACTTTTAAATTTTTGTATATAAACCTTCATGATGAGTTTACCGGTCTAGGTTTTGCTTGGACTGAGAAATGAACGACACAATTTTTGTCTACGGCCTTTTAACGGCACAAGAAGATGGTACTCGCCCAATCATCACATTCAAAGTAAGTCACTCTATGCTGTAGTCTATGATATTCAAAACTTGGGTACAGAGATGGCAAAGGTAAACAGACAGGATGCACAAACTTCAAGAACTTGACGCCTACATTTTTGAAGTCTTGTCTCCTGCCAAGAGATCCATGTTGACAGCTGCTCTGATCAATTGATTCGCGATAGCAGTTGGCGGCGGAAGTCTCAACCCTCCCTCTTTGTACTCCGGACCAGCCTTATCACCCAGCGCACTTACGCCTATTCTCAAAGCCTCCTCGACTTCCTCGACGCCAAACCATTTCGCATCTTCCAGCTCAGGGTCATGGCTTAGATTGATCGTTTCATGGGCAGGATCGCTAACTTGTGCGATTGCTCCAATCATGAGATTTGCTGGGTAGGGCCAAGGCTGGGATGAGTGAATAATGACACGGGAAAGAGTAACGCCCGCTTCTTCCCACACCTCCCTCCGGACAGCGTCCTCAACCGACTCTGCTGGTTCGATGAACCCGGCAAGGGTTGAATACCAGTTGGGCGGATAGCGTTTTGAGCGACCAAGCAGGACCCGCTTGGCGTCGGTTGAAAGAACGGCCACAATGATTGTTGGATCGGTACGTGGAAAGGACAGGTTAGAAAGGGTAGTGCGCGTGTTGCAGGCTGGCCGTTCGGCCGGCTTCCCCTCTGCGACACGGGCAACGTCTGTAGGTGGACAAGCACGCTTGGTACCAGAATTTACAGAGAGCGTGGGGTTACCGCAGGTGCCACAGAAGCTATTACGGTTATTCCAATCCATGAGAGCGCGGGCTTGGGCGTAAATGGCAGCTGGGATGCGGTCAGTAAACAAAGTTTGCTCTCTAGATCTCAGCAAAGCTTACCTTCGTCAGCCGAAAAGGTCATGACCACTCTCGACTGGAAGAAGCTCAATCCCTTTTCCTCCATGGCACTAATCACAGCTTTGGAATTGGTCTGTTGCTCGTCATCCCCCTTAGGGGTTACATCGAGAGCAAAGAAAGGAGTGCCGGTATAAATCTTCCAAGCGAGCCCATCTTGTTTACGGCTCTCGTCTAGTCCGAGGAAGATTAGCTGCGCGGTGGTCTTCCGTGAGTCATATTCCTTGATTGTCTCCTCCTCTGTCTTATCATAAATCGTCTCGGGAACAAGCTTTTGAATTTCATTATAGTGAGCATAATATAATTCTGACGGAGACTTTGTAAGGGGTGCAAGATCCTTCAGAAGTACAAAGCGGGTGGAAGGATGTCTGATAGCTGCTGAAAGAAACGCATGCTCGGTCCGTAGAAACGAGAGCCGATTTAAAGGCGAGCCTAGTAATATCAGTATCGTAAAAGACCGTTCAATCAAAACCGGGGGAGCCTACTGGAGAAGTAGTTTACGGTTTCTTTCCCAAACTGTCGAGACAGCATTGACTCAGCTTGCGTATGGGCAGGAGTGGGAATCTGAGGTTGATTGCTCATAATGAGATTTAGGTATGACTCAGGCCAGTGAGTAAATTGGGGTGAAAAATCTATACTAGAAACACTATAGAATGTAGAAAAAGAGGGGGGAAGCAGAGTAGAAATCGCAAGCGCAAGTGTAGACGCCCTGATAACGAATGATTAATCAGCTGCTTCTTACAACTTATCCGAGGATCAACATGCATAACACGGCAGCAAATGACGTATCCCGGATACCATCACTGCATGCATCTCAGGGGCCGTTACTATGAATGTTCTGGTAATACCAAAACCACAGCGGGGTACGAGGGGAAGCTCCCCACACACGTGACAGGCGTCATTGTCGGCCATCTCCAATTCAATTCTTATCGCCGGGAAAGCTGGAATGACAGGGTTCTTGTGTGCGCTTCTTTAAATAATTTGATAGCAAGATCCAGTTTCAGGATCTAGAGATTGAAGATTGGCCACTAATTGGAACTGTCCCCGTTCATCCAACATGGGCCACCTTGTCACTCTTGCAACATGGTAGGTACTACTTTCGAGCAGTTACATGCGCCATCTAACTTGTAAGGTCGCGCTGATTTGTATTCCCTACCAGTTCCCTTAATCAATGGGCCCTTGATTTTGAAGGCAACTGCGAACGGATTATTGAGAGTATCCGTCAGGCTAAGAAAGCCGGAGCTACTCTACGCGTCGGACCTGAACTCGAGATCACCGGTAACTTGAGCATTGGCTATGACTACAAAGTTCGCTGCATTGATACGCTTTTCTAGGATATGGTGTTCTTGATGGATTCCTCGAGGGCGATACGTTCCTCCATTCGTGGGAAATGTTGGCACGTATCATTGACCACGCTGACTGTCAAGACATTGTGGTGGACGTAGGTATGCCTGTTCGGCATAGGAATGTGCGATACAATTGCCGGTGGGTGGTTTTCAAGTCAGTAAACCGGCCTCGCTAATATTCTTAAGCGTTATCTTTTACAACCGCAAGATCATTCTGATTCGCCCAAAGATGTGGCTTGCCAATGGTTTGTCTATGCCTTTTTTATCCCAACACTTCGTCTTATTCTTGTGTCTATCTTGAGCTATCCTTCGCTAATGTTTGTGGCCCAATCAGATGGGAACTATAGAGAGATGCGGTACTTTACCCCTTGGCAGCGCCCTCAAGAGATTGAAGATTATTATCTTGAATCAATCGTTGGTAAAATAACAGGCCAGTATAAGGTTCCTTTCGGAGATGCAGTCATCAGTACAAGAGATACTTGTCTAGGTCTAGAGACCTGCGAAGAGCTATTCACTCCTAATGGGTACTCACTTTGACTACATGATTGTGGCTACCGTGCTAATTCTATATAGGCCTCATATCCCTTACGGTCTTGCCGGTATGGTCATCATTGCACCCTGCAGCCCTGTTCTGGTAGAGATCGCTGACCTCTTCGATAGGCGTGGAGATCATCTCCAATTCTTCAGGAAGTCATCACGAGTTAAGGAAGCTTGACACCCGTATCAACTTGGTTACACAAGCTACGAAACTGGTGAAGTTGCCTGCAAAGATAGCATTAACTCGCAGGCTGACGGCTTTTTAGAGTGGAGGCATTTATCTATATGCAAACCAGCAAGGCTGCGATGGTGACCGGCTGTATTATGATGGCTGTGCAATGATTGTCGTCAATGGCAATATCGTGGCCCAGGGCTCTCAATTTTCCTTGAACGATGTCGAGGTTGTTACAGCTACCGTTGATATAGAAGAGGTCTGGTTTCCATAAATTCTGGTTCCTGCAGCGAAAATCTAACCTGGGATAGGTCCGGACGTATCGTTCTAGTGCTAGTCGTGGTATGCAAGCCAGCAAACAAACACCATTCGTTCGTCTTGACCTCGATATGAGACTTTCTCGTCAAAACGAAGAGGCTGAGCCCGGCCTTGCCCCATCTGAGACTATTGCGCCCCGATACCACGCCCCTGAAGAAGAAGTCGCACTCGGTCCAGCTTGTTGGCTTTGGGATTATCTCCGAAGGAGTGGTGCCGCTGGGTTCTTCCTTCCGCTGAGTGGTGGTATTGACAGCTGTGCTACTGCCATTATTGTACACTCGATGTGCAGGGAAGTCATCAAGGCAGTGTCAGAAGGAAATGAGCAGGTGATCAAAGATGTCCGCAGGCTATGCGCTGAACCAGCGGATTCCACCTGGCTTCCTACTACGAGTCAAGAAGTGTGCAAGTAAGACTGATCTTTCCAACTTTCTAACCTCTAATCAAGGATGCTAATTCACTTTCAGTCGCATCTTCCACACTAGCTATATGGGCACCCAAAATTCCAGCAAGGAGACAAGGGACCGGGCAAAGAGGCTCTCAACCGACATTGGATCCTATCATATCGACTTTAATTTTGATACAGTTATAACTTCCTTGACGAATTTGTTCACGATGGTTACCAACTTCCAGCCTAAGTTCAAGGTTCATGGTGGTAGTCGGGCAGAGAACCAAGCGCTACAGAACGTCCAAGCCCGCCTAAGAATGGTGCTTTCGTACCTGTTTGCATCGTTGCTTCCTACAGTCCGACAGCGGCCAGGTGGAGGTGGACTGCTCGTTCTGGCATCATCAAATGTAGATGGTAAGTGATATCTCCTACACATACTGGATTTCGCTAACTGTCCGCAGAATGGTATATAAAGCTTAATTCCTTTTCTAATTTGTTCAATTCTAACCGATATGCACAGTTTGCGTGGCTATTTGACGAAATACGATGCCAGTAGCGCAGATGTATGTCTCAGCCCCTTTCCTGGCACTCTCCTTCATAGAAGAGACTAGATGCTAACAGTAAGATTTAAAACTAGTTGAACCCAATTGGCTCCATCAGCAAAGTCGACCTGAAGAAATTCATCGCCTGGTCTCGGGATTCGTTTGAAATACCTATTCTTCACGAATTCCTGAACGCCACTCCAACCGCCGAGCTGGAACCGATAACATCCACGTACGTCCAGTCAGACGAAGCGGACATGGGCGTAACGTACGCTGAGTTGTCCACTTTCGGCTACCTGCGTAAGGTTGCGAAGCTAGGACCTTGGTCCATGTACGAAAGATTGCTCCATGTGTGGGGTAATGAGTACAGCCCTCGCGAGATATATGAGAAAACCCGTCATTTCTTCTACAATTATGCCATTAACCGCCATAAGATGACCGTAATTACCCCTAGTTATCATGCGGAACAGTACTCTCCCGATGATAATAGGCATGACCTCCGGCAGTTCTTGTGTAAGTAGATTCCGCAGTTGACTTGTTGATTTCTAGCGTTTGCTAATGTGCCACCAGACCCCTCATTTACTTGGGCATACAAAAAGATGGAAGACAGTGTCAAATTCTGGGAATCAAAGGGATGGACTGCTGGGAAAGCACAGAAGAAGAACGTCAAGGCAGACTAGGTGGATTAGATGAATGCGATCATATTTGTTTTAAGAAATATACTAAGAGAGATACACGCCATGAGACATCAGTTTAGATATGTTAAATGTGGAAGATATTGCACCTTGAAGAGACGACTTAGCATAGCCAGGCAACCAGTACACGGCATAGGACTCGAATATATGAATGTGACTAGCATAGTGTTTGCTAGTGAGTTAATGAGAAAGGGGATAACAATAATTCACAAGACGCCAATTGGGAAGACGCAGCGCTAAGCAGACAAGACATAGGAAAGGGGTGAAAAACGAGTAGGTAAAGGAGAGTAGAGTGAAAAAAAAGAAAAAAGTATGATCAGAGGAATGAAACGACAAAAAGCTAAGATCTCTCGATCTTATTCGCGCTTCCAGAACCAGCCGCTCGGTTTCTCATCAGACCGGGCTCCCTCTGGACTAGTGGGTTCCCGACTGACCTGCGACGGATTGACCACCTCGACAGATTCATTGCTCTCTTCGCGGCCATCTGCAAACCGCTGAGTTTTTACAGTCTTTGTCTGAATCGATCCATCAGGTAGTCGGATACGCTCTGTTGAAGTTTTGGTGGATATAACGTATGGACTTTTCTCGGCCACTGACTTGTCGGTCTCCGCAGGAGATGCATCCGTGGCTGGTTGAGAGTCTGTCTTTGAGACAGTATTTTGGTTTTCGCTAGGCACCTGGCCTAGGCTGCTTTCGGTATCTTCAACCCGGTTTGCTTTCTTTAATGATGCTCTGTCATCTGCGGCTCTGTATCTGTCTTCAAAGAGAAGGCGTAAGAGAGGGCTTTCGTGTGTATCCTTGAAGAACTCCCGCTCACGAGCTTCAATGTCCGCAAGGAAACGTTCGTACATATCTAGCTCTGTGACTGAGTCAGGCTCAGCATCATCCCAACTAATTTCCGCCTTTGCACTATTGCTCAAAGCTTTCTCTTCGGCCAGACTGCGGTCATCTTCCGTGTTCTTCGAATTATCGAACGTGATAGTCGACCAGGGTCGGCTTTCTGTTCCAGAGATATACTTGAAACGATCCCCAAGACTACCACGTTTGACCAGCCCCTGCAACCAGTCCTTCCCCGATTCCCTCTTCCTGACGTCTGCAGGGTCCCTGTCGAGCATCGGCTTTCCGTTTTCGAGTCGCAAAAGATCCTCAAAAGCCTCCCGCCACTGGGGCTCTGCAGGATCATGTTCAGTAGAAAGGTTCAGAGTAGACATGAGAGACGAGAACACTCCGTGTTCGCGACTAGACCGATATTGTGCCTGACGTTCTAAATGCAGAGGGGAGTAAGGACTGAACATGAGGTAGGTGACAGGCCAGGTCGGAGATTCATCATTTACCATGCCTGAGAACAGGGGCCTATTGTACGGGTGGAAGAAGCGGGAAGAAACGCGATCGTCAAACCAGAACTTGTCGAAGAAGGAATCGAAAAAGAAGTCGATATCGAAAGGATCGTGAGGTGGACTCTGTCTTCTGGTACGATGGGACTGCCAATGTTCATCTGATCCTGGCCAGTACGACCGCGATGGTGAATTATCAGTCGACTTGGAAGATGCGCCGGTTTCCGACTCCGCATAATGGTCTCCTTCTTTACCGTCGCCGCTTTGTCTTTGGCGGGTATGCGCGTCTTTGTAGTATCTGTCGTCTGCGAAAATCGACCAATGGTCGGGTGGCGGGGCAGTGACCATCGATGGCAGCCCCGTTACTGACTGTAACATGGAGCAAATCTGTTCGTCGGCAAAGCGACGGAAAGCAACAAACGGATTGTCGTCATCGGGCCATAGTTGGGAGCTCTGCGCGGAAGGGTCTCTGTCGCGGTTTGAATTGTCGTCACCTGCCATGGCTGGTTCCTCCCCAGAAGGGTCTCGGAAAGGGATAGGTCAAATCCGAACAAGAGACAGGTCAGATTGGTCAAGGGGATGTCGATCCAGATGAAATTTGAGATGGAAAAGAAAAAGAGGATGGGGGATGTATGAGACTCAAATAAGCGTTAGCGTGGTGATCGATTGAAGCTGTTGGGGATTGATCGCCCCACCTCTCATTAAATGAAATCCACAATCACCACGTGATGTCTGCAAACATGGCAAATGCTTGTTCTCTCGGACTAGGACTATTCCAGCCAGAACAACATATTGCATCGATTTACATTCGCTCATCAGAATATACATTAATTGCCTAGCCGACTACATTACTAAAGGACATCCAAGCATACAGAGCCACATCCGGTCACAGACGAGGGCGGTCTTCAAATTCCTCCCATGCTCCATCGAATCCGGTGGAACGGACCCACACGGAATGCTCGTCGGAAGTTGAATCCATAACTATATCCGTCATCAGCCACCGTTGCAAGACACAGGTTTCAGCTTCAACTCACCCATATTCCCGATCTTCAGCCACATATCGCCGGTGATCATCAATCCCAAGTCTTTGGCCCGGGCCTCGTAAGGACGGCAGACTCTCTCTCCGTTCGCGAGGGCTCTTGCCAATTTGCTGATGTGTCCATCCTCTCTTGGGTGTGCATTGACATATGCGAAAATATCCGCCCAAGTCCTCGAAGCTTGATACTCGATAACATCATTGAGGTATAGCTCGGGTGTATTGCGGGATACATATAGCAATAGGTTCAATCGTCCTTTCCATTCGAGGAGACGTAGCTTGGAGCGCACATCTAGCCACGGCAGCGAGATGAACTTGGCGAGGAATATCGACGCATTCAAGCCATGTATATAGAAGAAGTCAAATTTAACCTGCTTGGACGGTCGTTGAGCAGTAGCGGTGAAGTAGGCTAAAATGTCGCTACAGTCAGTACCCACTCATGCAGACCCTAGTTCCCTGGGCACTTACCAACGGTGTCGACTATTTCAACAAGCTTTTCTTCCATTTGATCCTCAGACACGGTGAATTCTGCAGCATGTTTGATCATTTCATCTGGTGCCCGTACGAGGACGCCGTCCCTCATCCTATTCTCATCTTCCCAATGTGCGGAATTCGCCAATTTATCGTCGCTCCGTATTTCTTCTAGAATTTGCAGCAATGTTTTCTTTCCGGGTTTGCCAATACCCCCTGCTGCTTTTTCAGCGGGTAGGAGGAACATTGGACCAGTCCAGTTCTCATGGGTAGCAGCTTGGGCCAGGGCTTCTGCTACGATGGCAGGCTGGTTGAACTCAATCCCGAACCCCAAGTGGATAAACGGATGAATGAGACCTTGAGCATTCCAACAAAAGTCAGTTCTATACTTACGAAATATTGCCAACTGGACTGAGAGATGCATGTACTCACCTCCAAACAATCTTACCAGCATATCTTCCGCGATATCATCCCCGGCGAAAACGTATTGTTTAACCACGCTTTCAACTCCTTTTGTTTCGATCTCACGTTGGAAAAATTCCAAGAAATTGGGGTAATTGTTTCGTTTCCCCAGGCATTCTTTGAACCGAGCCTGGTCATACAAGGACTGAACCACACTGTCATTGGCCGGCAAAGCAGGCCGCTGGTAGCTCTTATTTCTCTCATACGCAGCCCTAATCTCGTCCGGGGAAGCCCCCAGGGCAAAGATTGTTAGAATATGGTGGACGATATGGTCTATTATATTAGCATTTGATTTGTTTTCTCGAGCGATAAATACGAGGTATCCAATCAAACTTACTATGAAACCCGGAATCGTTGAAGTAGATGTGGTGCTTCTCTAGATTCTCCTGCAAGACTTGGCTAGCAGCTCGAGCAGCATCCTCTCTAACTCCGGTGGAGTAGATACCGGAGTTAGAGGTGGACAGCTCAATCTTTCGCGCCGTGGCCATTGGACTTCCTCGAGCGTTGGCACGATAGTTAGATTCAACAGTGATTATGCTGGATGGTGATGAGAACGAGATCCGCCGGAAATATTGAACAGCCGGAGTACAGCAACTAGTAAAGCGTTGAGCACTAAAGCACCGAGGGCGAATGGGCTGAAGCCTCCTCGGCAATAGCGACGATCGTTGTGTAATAGCAGTGGATTGGCGACAGCAGTTTGCCAATGTACTGTGAACAGTTTTCCGATGCATACAAGCTGGGCAGAGTGGATGGCCGGGAAGTCATGTCTTTATCGCAAGCTTATTTATCTCCATCTCGTATAGTTTCGATATGCGGGGAGAGCAGTCGCTAAAGTGAGTACAAATCAAAGTCGGGCTTCGGGGCTTCGCGACGCCCGAGCGACGTCATATGAGCCCCCCCGCGCCAATCATACAATTAGGGTTGACCAATCTCTCGTATTTGACTTGTAGGTCTGGCTGCTCTAATTGAACAGAAGAATCTGGGGTTCATTCGCCTGGAGTCTGGATCGCATCTGGATCGCGTTTCGATCTGGCTGCTTACACATGGCTTTTTATGGTGCACCATTAGAGTGGGCTTCAAGCTGTCAGAATAACGCAAGCAACCAACGAATCCTTCGCAACATGACACCTTCATAGCGGCTATTTTCTTGGATCGAGAGAATCATAATAGACAAGTGATACAATCCTTCAGGAAAAGGTGCACAGAATCCAGTACACTGCCCCGTTTCCAAGACAAATAAATCCTGGAGTCTCCAGCTCGATAACCATAGCTGAGTCAATAATAGGAGAGCTCACATTAATTCGGCTAAATATTCAGGAACACACTAGACCAGGGTCCAGGGGTAAAAAGCTTGGACATGCCCTGAGATAGAATGTGGGACCCTTGATCCATTTCAACGGCCCAGAATGATGATCACGACCCAGCTACATTATTCCACCGAAGTTTACCCCCAAACCACCCGATGAGAGGGGCATGCCGGTGCTCGAACCGGTGTATATCTTGAATAACCTCGGGAGATTCCGACTGAAACGTCACGAATGGACCGTGAGAAACTATTACGGCCGGGTGTATCAAGTAGATGATAGAGATGGTGGCGGAGCAGGATCTTGTCGGCAGGCTGTCTAAAACATCGGAGGGTTCATCTATCGATGATCTATGGGTCCAAGGGCCCGGTTTATATGCTTTCGATCGAGAAGCTCGTTAACACTTCTACTATTTCTCCTGAGAAATAAGGAGGACGCACGTAGTACGATGAGAGCATTCTACCTGGGAAAGACTAAGATGCAGATGCATGTCTTAGCATGCATAGACTAAGACTAGGATCTACTTGTCGTGATTAAATTACCATTTATAGACCCAAAAGAGAGCGAGCGCTTTTGCTTACTTCGGTATTGATTAACCCATTCAATACTTCCAGTAATATACCAAGATAGAACATATAAGAACGCAAGCTCTACCGCCAGAAAATAGACAACAAGCTATCCAAGCCAGTCATTCTCTCTTTCCAATATTTTCATACCAAAATCCTACAGTCACTCGCTCCCCTAACTTTTAACGATATCCACTCATTCAACCTCAATATACTGACTGCAACAATGCACTTCTTCACCCTCGCCATCGCTATCTTCGCAACCAGCACCCTCGCGGCCCCGGCCCCAGCCGCCATCAACCCGGACTGGATGGGAGGCATTCTGAACATCTTCAACAGACCCCATGGCAAGGTCAGCGCTGAAGCTAGTGCTAGCCCTGCCAGTTCCAGTGTCGCTTTGGGTCCTACTCCCAGTCCCACTGTCGGCACCATTGTCCCGCTGTAACCTTGTCGGTATACTACCTGCTTTGAGACATTTTCTAGCTAGGGCGACTAACGGCTATAGAAATCAGGCTGCGTGCAAGGGAATCATCACTATTGTTGGTTGTTGCGCGGGATACGAATGAGTTGAAGAAAGCAGAGAGCGGAGGACAGGAGCAAACGTCTCGGTAGTCTCCGAGGGTATTTTGTTTTTTGTTCCATTCTGAATAGGGCTCTCGTGTTGTATATATTTGCTCATGAGTGCTGCGGGCGGTTAAAACTACTAGTAGTCTTGTTGGGCCTGTCATTGAGGTGGACCTTGTGAGTCCGGTATTGTTCGATGCCAACTGTCCAGCTGAGTACAATTTGTAAGAATGTATATACATGGATCTGAAAGCGAATTGTCATATTATAGTAAGTTTATTATGTATATTTTGTGGTTTGATGCAAACTGCTTTTCCAAACAGATATATGACCAGTGCAACCCTTTTACCAGGAGAAAAAGTACCAATCTGATGAACGAAACTGATTTCCATCTGAATTGTGGCACCATCTCAATCAATGCATGCCAAAATCTTCCATCTCCTTCTTCCTCTTCTGGCGCTCCCGTTCTATCTTGCGGAACAACGGGTGGTGTCCCACTTTGTCCTTCAGCTGCTTGTTCCGGCTCTTGTTGTACTCGATATATGCCATGTCCTCTCCTCCTGCCAAGCCGCTGAGAGTGGCGGCACTGCGTTTGACAGCCCCCTTCTTAGCCCTTGGTCCACCAGAACGTTCAGAGAACAAGTCATCGGTGACGGCTTCAACATCCGCAGACGTTTCATTCTGCAGCATGACCTCCTGTAAAAGCTCGCGTCGCTCACCGGGGGTTGCATAAGCGAGCCCCTCCAGATTTTCAATACCTTGAAGATGGGTGATAACTTTGAACGCGTAGCCTTGGTCGACAAGGAAAGCTTGTCTTTTAGAAGAATAGAACATCTCGTCCGTATCCTTGGAGACGAGAGAGTAGAAGAATGCATTGAAGCCCTCATCGTTACGACGCTTAGCTCGCAGAATTCGGCCCAGCCGTTGGGCTTCTTGACGACGGGAACCGTAATGTGATGATATCTGAATCAGACAGGTTGCCTCAGGTAAATCCAAGGATGTGTCTCCGATCTTCGATAGAAATATGGTGTTGACTTGCTCGTTGTGCTGGAAGTTCTCCAGAATCCGCATACGCTCATTTTGAGGAGTGCCACCATAAATGTAGGCCTTGTTCAACTTAAGGGCATAACGCTCAAGAGCATAGACGTTATCAGAGAACACGATAACCTTGTCTCCACGCTTTTCGTGGTAGTCGATGAGAAATTGGCAAGCCTGAAACTTCCGGGGATTCATGATGTAGAGCAAGGCTGCCTTTCTTGACTTCTCTCTCATGTACTCCGAATAAAACTCTGTAGTCATAGGACACCACACCTCAGCGCATTGGACTTTGGCAATGTGCCCTTGCTCCGCAAGTTCCATCCAGTTAGCTTCGTACAACTTCGGGCCAATCAAGAAGTTCAAATCCTTGATTTTGTCGTCTTCACGCAAGAGGGTCGCAGTCAATCCGAGCTTGCTTTGGGTCGCGATAGCCGAAGTAACTTTACGGAACATAGATGCAGGCACCACGTGCACCTCATCAAGAATCATTAGACCCCATTCACGCGATTGAATCCAGTCCATCATTTTCTGTGCATCATGAGACCGGGCCCTTGTTTGGGAAACCATGGAATATGTCGAAACAATGATACCTGTCGATCTGCGAAACTTTTCCTTGTTGTCTGAGGTGAAAACGGCGATGTCGCCCGGGTCAATATTCGACCACCGTAAGAACTCGTTTCTCCATTGAACCACAGACATGGAGCTGGTACAAAGAATAATCGTACCCTTCTTGATCGTGCAAGCAGCCGTAATGCCAACTAGGGTCTTTCCGGCACCACAAGGAAGGACGATGATACCACTTTTAGCACGTCCGTTGCCGAACATCTTACTTAGACTCTTCTCCTGATAACTTCGGATTCGAGCTTGTGGCTTCAAGTCGATATCCAATGTAGGATTGATTTCGTCGTTCCGGAAGTCATACTCCTCTAATGCCGGGCAGCCCATTGCCTGGCAGCGAGCCTTAACAGGTTCGACAGCTTCATTCGGAATTTCAAAGCTGTGAACCTGAGCCTGCTCTTCATCGTCATCTTCATCGCGAATGGCCAAAAGTAGATCATCCTCCTGCCGCTTCTCTCCTTGGTTTTCCTCTGGCGGCTGTTGCTGGTCCGTGCTCTGCTTCACTCCTGCTGCATCCTTGGTGCCAGGGATAACAAGTCCACCCATTTTTGGAGCAGCCTGCTGAATGATACCGGCCGACCCGCCCTGGACCCTCTGAGCTCCGATGACTTCATCTTGCAGGAGCATCTGTAACATGGCTGGGTCGGTACTTTCCACGAAGAAGCGATTATGTTTCAGCACGACCTTGATCTTTCCGTATGACTTCGTAAAATCGATGATGAAGGATTTAATTGTATCCGGGAGGGGCGTCTTCGACAACCGGTCAAGGAAGTTGATGATATCCTGAGGCTGGAGACCAACCGAGACAGCCGCATACAAACTGTTTCCCGTCAACCGGTATTCGTGCAGATGGGTCGGACGTGACAGCGGTTCGGCGATGGTGGTCAGGAAATCCTGCGCTTGGGGGGCCAAGGGCGAGAAACTCTCCAACGTAATGGTTCCTTTCAAGGGGTCGATCCATAGAGGACGGTTCGCGTGATCTGGTTTCAGAGGGAGCGACGAAAAGTCTTTGTAGCCGAAGTTCGGATCTTGCTTCTGTACGGCGGAGCTCTTCTTGTTACTGAACGATTCGAGGGAGAACTTGTCGACGACCTCTTGAAGAAAGTCAGCACTTGGGTGGTTACTTTTCAAGAGGCCCACTTGTAATACCTTTCAGGCTATCTTCCTTTGGATCATATTCGGAAAATTCATCGCTACTATCGACATCCTGGATGTCAGGCACCGGGGTCGCACGCTTCGAAGCTCTACTTGACCGACCGCCTAACGAAGGTCAGCCCTGTCGTCTACCTGATCCCTGGATGGGAATCGTACTGTCGGTTGCCTTGCGCTTAACAGGCATATCGTTGTATTGTGTTAGAATCCCCTGAAACTGATGTCTATTGTCTATTGTGTTGATGTTATGCCAAAACGAATGTGCATACTCTGAGGCTACCAGCGCCTCAGCAGGGCTCCAAGCAAATCTAAACGTTCCGTTTTTTCTAAGATACGAGTAGTACCGTCAAACTGGTGTAGAGTTGAGGAATCCGGAAGCGATAAGCGGGTTGAAGGGGATGTAGAGAAAGGGAAAGTTGAAGGATATAAATCAGATGTAATCCGATGAGATGGATGACTTTACTCCGATGATGTTAAGGCCTGAGGCATCAAAGTGTGGCGAAAGAGGCAGAAGAGGCTAAGTTGGCGGTGGCACAGCAACCGGTAGAGCGAAACGGCGTTCCGACCTTCGGCCGAATGTTGACGTAGTTTCTACTCCGTCTCCATTTTTCCTTCAATTGAGGATTGTTTTGCTCAATCTTGGTATCCGCACATTCTTTTTAAAGAAGGAAAAAAAAAAATGAATACGGTACGTATATGAGGACTGCAAACAGACGAGACGTGAAGCCTTGCTGACCGTGTTTTGGGAAATCTATAGATCCGATCTACCTGGTGAGCGGGAGACAACCTGCAAAGCTTCATATTCCTGGGCGACATGGAACCTAGATTACTGACATGCTGTCGACATGCATCAACAGGGTAGGCTGGGGTACTCTCTGCGTCGGTAAGGGACTCTCAAGCGCCCCATATCTCACGACAAGTAATTGCACTCAAGTGCTCCACGGCTGACTTCGGTAAACAGCTGGCGGCGGAGCCTATTATTTCGCTAAGAAATCGATCAATGCGGACCGAGCCGCCCGATATGAAGCAGAGAACAAGCGCAAATCGAAGCTCGCACAGATGGAAGCCGATTACCGACGCCAGTCGACTCTCAACGAGAGAGTCTCGACCCCGTCCGAATCCCCTAGCTTGAAACGGGCCAACATGGCGCAGTTCCAGAGCGCAGCGGACGATGTAGCGTCACCAAGCGCGGAGGCCAGTCATGATCCCGCTCCAACCCGTCACGAACCCGAATCCGAAGCAGACCGAGTGCTAGAGAAAGGAAAATACGAGGCTGCTCAACCGTTCCGACCTCCTCGAGGTAATCGATTCAGCTGAGCGCGTTAACTCTTACGCGTGAGGGCATGCGGAGGAGTTCATCTTCCCTCAAACAATAGAGATGGCAAAACGTCATATGCACATGTCGAGAGTGTGCTGAGTGTGCTATGACTTTGTATGATATCATGCGATTATATGCTTTGCGAGCTAGCCGACTTCTTAAATCTCGCGAAGTTTGCGGGGATTCGTGGTATATATTTTACAGGCTGTGTTAGGGAATCAAAAATGTTGTTTTCATTTGAGTATTCATCCAGTGAATTAGACTCGACAATATTGCACCTTGTGTAAGGTACACAAATCTGTCATGGTTCATTTCTGCACTGCAGCAACACTGTCACCCAACTGCCCTACCAGAGGGAAGCATGGGCTATTCGTTTGCGCTCGAGTTTGCATGATCGCTGCGGTGAACATGCGTGTAAGAATCTTTTCTCTGGTCGAGACAGTATGCAGGACCCCGATGCTCGCAATCATGCAGACTCGCCAAGAGAACAAAATTAGAAATGCGTAATATAGATAAAAAGAGCACGACGCCAGCAAACTCCGTCCGACAATTATGCGCTTCACACCACGGAATCCAGGTTGTGGTATGTGTAATAAGTATCAACGTCCGTACGCCCACCATTTGCAAGTCCACCAGGGATGGTGATATCGAAATCAAGGAAAATAAAGGCCGTAGCATCAAAGATTGGCGGAAGTACGGGAAATGCCCCGATACATGTCAGGTACCGTGACAGATTCCTCCTTCGGGCATGGTAACCGAGACATCTTAACGGGCATGAAAACAGAGCGGCGGGTGCGGCCTGGAGAAGAGGTCAGCCAATCAGCAACCGAATCCCTGTGTACCAGAGTAGTATGGACCAGTCAACAACATACTTATTGCAATTGGGACCGTCCGTATTCTTAGCGCGAGAACTCTCAAGGGCTGGAGGAATAAATGGCAGCACCACCGCGGAGAAGAGACACGAAGTGGTGACAAATCGAGAGGTGCGAGTGTCTGGTTGTGGGCGACGGACAGAGAAATGGCGGATAGTTGGGCGGACGAACCGAACAGCGATAGCCATCTTGTAGTGTAGTGTGCTAGTATACTAGTAGTAGTATGTTATAATGTAACAAAGTTGTGACGTTCTAGATCTAGTGGCAAGCGCCGATATGTTCGATGGTAGTGGTCACAAGTGTTTAAAATGTAACTGGAATTAGGACCAGAGAGGACCAGGGGTTCTTCCACTACTTATATAATAGGGTGAGTGATATAATGATCGATGTACCAACGACCTGTAGGTTGAGCAAGGTAGCAGCTATACTGTGTAGAGACGAGCACCTGAGCCGAGTGGGCCGATTTGTTGCGACCCAGTGGGGACTGAATTCCTTCTGCGGGGTCTTTGGCTGCGTCGTTAGTCCTCGAGAAATGATGCCATGAGGTGGGTAAAGAAAGAAACAGATCGCGGCAACGGTACGGACAATACCATACCACCCTATCGTTCCCCATGACCTCGGGGGTCGGAAGAGCAACCCGAGAGCCAACTTACAGTAAATACCGAGTATTAACTGAAGTAGTTCAACAACTTCATATTTGTACTAAGTATGTACGTACATGTGCTATGGAAAGAACTACGGCACGCAAAGTGTTGATACATACCCCACACCAAATAAGACAGGAGTACTTCAACGAGCCGGGCTGGACAACCTACGTCAACTAACGGTGAGTAAACTCCGTGGTGTGCAGACTCACGCCATCGAGGGGCAAAATGGTCGCGACTTCCGGCCGAAGAGAGACGATCCAACTGCGGGGCGATGGAGTCCAAGAACACGGGCGCTGATCGCGGTAGTTGCGTTTCCGTATCATCATTCCATACTTGCAGCGCCTAATCGAGTTAAAACAATATTGAACGGTTCAACCTGACATCGGATCGTTTCATCATCAAGTGCTCTGATGGCGGCAGTTGCCCATCCGAAGGCCGCAGGTGTACGGACGCCGAAGGCCTTTTGTCTGCCTGATGACTCCACAAAAATGAGTCAACCCTAAAGCCAAACCAATCTCAAAATTGTTTCCCAAGCTCTAATCAAGCTAAGCCTAGTATCTCCTGCCCAACATACCCCTATTCTGAGAAGCTAGTTCAAGCCCTCGTTCTGACGTGCTATACACATCGGATGACTCGTTAGCCAGCTGATTAATGGTTCAGATTGTTCAACTCTTCCAAAGGGTCCTCCTTGACCCCAACAATGCTGGAAAGCACTAAGGGTAACTTCTTTTAACCCCCGAGCTTACCAACGATACCCGATAACGAACCGCTCGATTCGAGACCTAAGTACAAACTTAAGCTAGTGGATCTATTCCGAATGCTAAGCAGCCCTAAGGCATCTTACTCTCCACGTGCGGTAATCAATCTGGGCAACCTTAGGAGAAAAACTTCCTAGTTCAGTAGTTGATTCTCTAGGTGCACAGTACGTTGCATCGCTAGTATAATGCTTGTAATATTCCGTCAACAAGCTTGCGCATATATGTCTTTCATCACTTTCTTATTATCTAGCCAGAAAAACAGGCACTAGTACTTTACATCGTGGACCTCGAAGGCCTGGGGAAATGTAGGGCACAGTAATGTACCGCTCCACCCACTTAGTTCACAAGCTTCTCATGCAAAGTAGGGCACCACTTTGACCACTACCCTAATTGCCTCCTTCAGGAGAACTCATCTTGAAGGCTTACTATTTTTGAGTATACATTTTTCGTGAAACTATATATATATAATCCCGTCATGGAAGGTTCAATAGGTACTAGAGTTACATTACTTAAGAACGCTGTGGACGGGAGAAATTATAGGTCCGAACCAGGGACCAAGAAAGCAGACACTATTATATTGCTTGCTCAGAATGATGTCTATAATACCGGGAGCTGTTGTGATCTGGAGAAATGATGCTCCACTCACGGCTGCACGAGATTCGATCAGACCACTACTGAATTAAGCTCCAGTGCCACTGCACCTGGCAGCCTGAGGACTCTCCACTTCCCCAAACAGAGAAGGTTAAGGGCCTTATTGCCTGAGACGATCAACGGCAGCTGATGTCACAATTAGTACCATTCCGCAATAGGCACGGTGGCATGAAAGGAGGTTCTTTTTGATCTTTGTGGTGATTCTAATCCCTCCCCCCAAAAAGAAAAGAAAAGAAAGGTATATGTATATGTATACGAAAAGAAATTATGATTAAAAGCGAGAGTCGAAATATAAGAACAGGTGAAAAGAAAGGAACATGAACTTAGAAGAATCTGGCCTCCACGGGTACAACTGGCACAATGCGAAGCTAGCATCTAATGCCTTCTACCGTGATGATGATGATGTCTCCTGTGATGTCTGTGATGAGCATCAGAGGAAGAGGCAGTAGATAAAGAATCAGCATCGGACTGGCTGCTTGCCATTCTGCTTGAATCTCGTTTGGCTGGTAGGCTGCTATTTGCAACAACTGGACCGAAGCCAATACACGTCTCTGGTAAGGCCTCATTGAGATCCTCCTAGTTGTTAGCAGTCTTATCAATGCCTCGTACATGTATACAACTTACAGCAATTGTGAGCTTTGCCAAAGGGTTCCCCTTGTCACTGGCTCTCGTTATCTCCGCGTTGAGACTAACTCCAGCCGAGGGAGCCACACTGACCCCGAAAACATGATGTTTCTCATCATCCTCGCAGACCCCAGCGGTTGCTATATCCATCAGTCAAAAATAAAGATAATTAAGCCTGGAGATGACTCACACTCGGAGAGAGCTAACGTGGCCCCGAGGACAGGCTTCAAGTTGACTCCTGCTGCAAATCCATGGCCTATCCAGGTGAGTATCTATCTTTATGAATGATATCAGTTATACATACCAAGAGCCTCTGCAGCCAATTGGATTGCAGCTTTGGCATGAATATTAACGCCGGCTTCGATTCGAGCATCTACCTGTACCGGTTCTGCACGAACCTGGGGAGTCCACCCTGAGTGCACTACATGAGGTGAGAGAAGGTCAATCTTGAGCTCTGCAGAGTCCAGAAGGCTGATGTCTATTCCCGAGGAAACAGAAGCAGAGCCAGACACCGGACCCACGCTGAAACCAAGGCTAAAGATAATTTGCGGGCCTAGATCTAAGATGCCAGGGATTGAATACCCGTAAATTGGTATCTTCGCAAGGTCGAACTGTTGAGAGTACTCTTCGATGAAGTCTCCACTTAATGTTAACTTGGGCCCCAGTCTTGCAGACACGCCGTGGGGTGTAAGCGTGAACGTTGCGGCCTTGGGTATATGTTTCTTGGTCCTGAGGTAGAAACCGAGTTCGAAGCTTCCTTTTGTGCCACACTGATCGCACGACAGTGTTAAAGAGAAGGGATCTTCGGGGGTAGAGAAGTCCTTCTGAGGAAGATTCCACGGATGATCAAAACTCATAGTCAAGGTTTTCTCGTGCTCTTTTCTTTTTGTGTGCTGCGGCGCGACACATGTATCGCGCGCTTCTTCTTTAGCCACTCTACCCACAGAAAGCTCAAAGGAGTGGAAAACATCTTTCCATTCTGATCGTCGAGCCTGCAACTTCGCAGTCTTGGTGTGGTCGTCAAACTCAATTTTCGAAGCAGCGAATGGCACTCTATGCGTATTCCATCCACACTGACCAGTGCCGGCGACCACAATAAGAGTGTTTTGTTCAATCGCATTAACCCATTTCCATGAATGCTTGATGTAGTCGAACGACTTCTGGCTTTTGAAATTGACGGCCAAACTAGTATTGGTACAACGGACTGACTTCAGCAAATACCTGAATCGCTCCATTGACACCACGCTTGTGTCATCGTCGGTTTCAACGGCAAACTCGGCGAAAGTCGGCTGTCCATCTTGAGAAGCTATTGTTGGAAGTTAGAAGTTGAGAGACCCCCGAGTTATTTAAATTTTGGTCATTGAACAAGTACACATACCAGTCCAATAGAAGGAATCCTTCCTTTGAGGTTCAAGATGAGAATGGTGCGACTCATTGTGATATCGTGTACCTCTCACTAGGAGCTGTTTCCCAGCTAGTTCAGGTGATTTGGCATCGCGGAACACGAGGGGTGTGTTTTGCTGAAGCGATAGAGTGATCAAGAGGCTGAAAGAGAGCCAAAAACGAACAAAGTTGGCCATCCTGGGGGCCTGAAATCAGCGTCACAGAGGCGGTTATGGCTACAACGCTCAAGCAAACAGAAAGACCATCAGTATAGCTGGGACCAGCTGTGAAGATGAATCTTTGCGTGTTAGACATGATGTCCGAGAGGCGTCCGTAGCTATAAGAGGAGCCAAGCGTCGTCTAGTTTCCCAGAACTGAAGTCTTCCCCTGTCATGCAGCTCTGCTCCCAAATCCCCTATCCGTAGTTCACAGGGTGTTATGACTCTTCAGTGGTTCTCTCCGATAGCGTGGTGGACTTGTCCTTGGCATGTTTTTGATTCATGACAACGGACGCTTCGGCCGTTCATACTACGTACATACATACATGGTTCAGAGACTAAGCGGCAACGCTAAAGTAGCCAAAATAGTAGTGTTCCTGTCGATCCCAGTGCGTTCTTGCCTTTGTTTGAGAGAAATCTCCGATGAGATCGACCTCATTTCGAACTCCCTACGCAGTAGTAGTTCGTAGCATTCATTGAGTTGGAGGTACAACGAGTAATATGTGAACGCGTGCCTGTTTGAGCAGCCAAATTGATATTTGTTTTCGCTGAAAAGAAGGAATTTCTTTATAATTAAAGCAGGATGGGTAGGAGTGTGCCAAGAAATGTGCATGCGAGACATGCATTGTAGGATTCGCGCCTATACAAAGAGGGCGATCCCAATGGCCAGGGTCCAGCGGAGTGATTAAGTGCCAAGCTTTTGCCGTTATTAGTGAGACGTTACTAGTTCAATAGGGCCATTAGACTGTGCGACGAGTATCTCCTGTCCCATCACTTATCAGGGTCCTTTTAGCTGAAATCTTTTGCACAGCCATGTTCATCGACCCACGAACCCCAATATATCCGCTCATTTTAGATTAGAGTCGAAGCCAGCTGTTGGAGCCTCCAAGGGGAAAAGGGGTTATAGCTGTAGGGCTATACTCGAATTTCACCCGTTTCGGCCTAGGGCTATCTTCAATCAGTTCATATCTCTGTACGTAAGAAATATTAGCACAGGATTTTAGCGGGAGTAGAATTGGGGACCTGAATAGGCTGATGTCACCCAGCATGGTCATATAGGTATAACAGCCGGAGACTCCTCTGTCCAGTTCAAGCGAGACAGTGCCAACGATGGTTTGCTGGGGGCCACACTTAAACGTAGCCTTGCGAGTTTCGCAGAAATTAATGCCACATTATTGGACCCGCTATGGAGTATGGATCAAACAATAGCTGACAGTCCTCTGTTCACATTTTCTTTTGGTATTTCTTTCTGAGCCGCCATACTTAATTATATAGATACTCGCTTAAGGAGGGAGCCACATGGCGAAGCTAAGGGTTGCAAGGAGTATCCGCTTCCATGACCATGTAGGGTATATGATTCTGAAGGAGTTGTAATTCGACCATCCTCACTCGGATCATTTTCATAATTGGCATTATTTGTAGTTGTATTGTTTCACCCTACTGATGTATGGTCGTAAGCGCAATACTCACACAGATCTCCCTATGTACGTTACTTTGGGCACTTTGCTGAAAGATTGAGCCCCTGCAGCTCAGTACATTCCGCAGCTGCGTACAGGTGGACTTCGTATAGGCTGCCGAGTGTTTGGCCTTCTCACTAAGATATACTGAAGTCTTCTCTTGAACGCGCAGATTAAAGCGGAAACCTCTTCTACTGGACCATGTCAAGCTATTGTTGTAGACCTGCGCGAGAGGTAACCGCAATGCAACAATATCAAATCTGCACTGCGGCCTACTGAAGGGTGATTCATCTCAAGAAGTGTGCCTCCCATAAGTCTAAGGCATCTCGAGAAGAAGTAGACGCAGGAACTACATATGTAGCCTCTGTGATGCCTTATGCTGTTCGTATCGTTAATGTGCTGGAGATGGAAAGGGAATAGGACGGAAATAGAAGTGATCACGTGCGATAAGCGGAACCCAAACCGCAATCAACTCCGTTAGCCAACTTGACATCAAGAACCCAACAACACCCTCAAAAGAGATCCTACTGCCTGCAATGGCCTCTCATCAACTTGCCATTGCGAAGGCCTCATTCTCCGCGGGACTTTTACGCCCAGACCCCACGTCTGTCCCGCGCGACGAGATTACAACGTTCCATACCTCACTGGACAGGGCGCTATCGCATTGCTCCCCAGCAAACATCCAGGTTTGATTGCGAGTCCTTAGCACCGATATACACTGCAATACTAAATCTGTGACTCGGCGCGGCCGTTAGACCTGCAAAGATTGGCTTCTCGAGTACGTTGTCTCCTCGTCAAATCGGGTGAATGTTTGGGCCAAATACCTGGTTGCGCTCTCTGGTTCGTTCAGTGAAGACGCGCAGCAACCGCAAGCCAAGCCACAACAAACCCGGCCCATTTCTGCGAAGAGGAAAAGGCTACACATACTCTACCTGCTGAATGACCTGTTTCATCATACCAAGTATCATCTGGACTCGACTGCCGCCTTTTCCACCTTGACTGGTTCATTGCAGCCGTACATTGTGGAGTTACTGGGCTATGCTGCTTCCTACGACCGAGAGAAGCACCCCAAGCACCACGGACGACTAGACACCCTGTTGGATATATGGGTGCAGCATGGCTACTACGGCAGCGACTATGTTAACAAGTTGCGGGAGGTGGTCAAGAACTCAGCGTTGTCGGGCCCTGTCAAGACCTCTATTGACGTCGAAGAGAGCAACACAGACGCCGCCCACCGGCTTCCGAGCAAGGATGCACCATTCATCATGCCATCTACCCATGGGGACCAGTCTACTCCTTACTATGATCTTCCCGCAGGCAACCTTGTCCCTCACATCATCCCTAACTCGACTGTTCCACTTCGTCCTGATTCGATCAAACCACTGCAATTCCTGGCTGGACCAGCGGATGAAAAGTTGGTGATCGCTTTGAAAGCGTTTCTGAAAGACGTTGATCAAATATACGGAATCGAGAAACCAGAGCCCGAGGAAGATGAAGTAGTTGATATTGATGAGCTGGGCCAGACAGTCATACGTGACAAGATTACAGGCGACATTCTCAGCGGTGACACGTACTACGGGTGGTCTCGAGGGTTTTGCCAGCAAATGAAGAAGAGGAATGCGAAATCCAGCTCTCGAAGTCGCAGCGCAAGCCCTCGCAAGAGAAGGCGATACAGTGATAGCTATAGCGACGACAGCGGACGGAGCAGATCGAGGTCACGGAGTCGTACTCCACCTCGCAGGTTTGGCCGGTATGATTCTCGTTCACGCTCTGTATCTCGATCACGAAGTGGTCCCCGGCGCTCGCGTTCACGAGAGAAATCATATTCTCCTCGACCACCATCACCACCGCGGCCCATGCCCACGCAACACCACAATCAATTTAACAGTGCTGCGCCCCCAAGCTTTCCTCCGCAACCGCCGCCGATGCATTTTCAACAAGGCCCACCAGTATTCCCCCAAGGAATGCCAGGAGCACCCCCGCCTCCACCCAATTATCAGGTCCATGGCCACCACCACCTCCACCTTTGCCAAACTACGGCCCTTCGAACTTTCCGCCGGCATTCCAACCACAAGGTGGACAGTTTCCTCAGCAGTTCCCCCCAGTACATGTACCACAGGGACAGCAAATGCCACCCGGGTCCTATCATTTCCCTCCGCCTCACTCCGGGAGAGGCTGGAATCAGCATGGCTACCCATCTGGTCGTGGATGGAGGTAATTTTGAATGTACAATAAGCTAGCACGATAATAGTTCATGAGAAAAAGAATCTAATCTGCAATATACAAACAACACCAACCCACCTAGTAACACCAGATTTACTAGAATTGAGATGAAAGTTGAAATCCACCTCACGTAAATCAAGCCCTGAACTACCCCCACCCCTATAAGCCCCAAGAACATTCACTAGTGACCCGTGGGCACAGCATGCACACTGCTTGAAGCCAACCTAGGAGACGAAGAAGCCGCCGCCGCAGATGACGAAGAAGCCGCCAGCATCGAACTAGTCATAGCCGCCCAACTCATCGCCTTCTCAAGAGGCCGCTGCTTATTCTTCTCCAGAGCTTCCTGCATATCCTGCATTGCTTTCTCGTACGGTTCACATTCTTTGGCTAGGCTATCTCCCTGTTCATCTGTGTCAGCATTTGCTCTTTTTCTTCGAAACAAAAGGAAAAGAAAAATACAAAAGCCATACCTTCTCATTTGGCGATCCTTTACAACACATGACATCCTTTATACATTTTTCGTTCGGATCTGTATCGGCCATTGCTTGACCTGCCATTGCCTCATATCAGCAGCTGCGCGGCAAGCTATAAAAAGAAGATGAAGGGAGGTCACATAAAGAAAAAAAGAGAAATACATACAATCAAGCGACAAGATACTTGACAACTTAACCCCGTTAAACCATGGAATAGCCTGGCCCAATGATTTGGTGATGTTATCTCCGACTCCGTCGATGCTTTGACAGCATTGTTTGGACCGGTGAGCGTCTGGACAGATGCCGATGTGTGCTTCTGGTGAGGCAGAGGCAGAGGCGGCGCTCAGCGCTGGGTGTGCGGATTGTTTAGTCGGGGTTGAGACTGGGGTCTGCTGCTGGGAGAAAGGGACAGCAGTTGCGAGGGTTACTGTGGTTAAAAGAAGCAATATGCTTTTGGGATTCATTGTGATCGAGTGGGCGCTTGTCGTTGCCTTTAGCTTTGTGGTCGAGGAGGATCGAGAGATGCTGCATGGGAGGGCCTGGTTCGTAAAGAGGAGTAGACGTGTAAGTGATCAAGTATGGTAAACAACGAGGGCAAGGGGAAGCTCATCCCTGTGTTTATATGTGACAAGTTGAGATTCGCAGCCAAGATATCCCCTACGTTTTGAGGCTAGGAGCAAGGGATAATAGGCGCGACACGTTTGGTATCCGCGTGTCGGGTTGTCTATAGGCAAATTAGGTAGCCTAGACCTGCATGGAATGTAATAGCATGTCAAATTAAGACTGACAAGGAATGCTAGGCTTGTCAACATAGTGGTTGGGATATTTCTATTCGGATGATAACCTGCGCCGTAAAGCATTTCAGTTGAAGATGCAATGGCCCTTAAGTATTGCTTGATGCTCGTGTACCGTTGGCAGTAGACGTCAAGGAATTCGCGTTGTGGCCAAGATTCAGTTTCAGACGGGGAGTAGGATTATGCAAGGGGTGATGAGTATATAATTTCCGAGGAATTAAGCACATATGTGAGTATTCTACCTTGTGCCTGCATAAAATGAATCTCAATTAACCGTTCCGATGAGCAGAATAAAAAGGTAGAAGGGGATGCTGTGGAAGGACTACTACAGACTGTATTACCACTACTACAGCTGATAGTAGATAGATAGACCGGAGTATGTTGAACGGAAAGCCTGCCGTCACTTAATTCCCAAACCAAGTAGTGTACAGGAACTTTTGAAACCATAATGTACAGGACATGAACCCGCTGAAGCTGCTGGATGAAGAGGATTATGTGGGTGTGAGAAGGAAAGACGGGAATATGTTGATTCCTAGCTGTCTGTAGCCTGACACAATGAACAGGTATAGCCAAGAAGACAAGCAAAACTGGCAGAATTCTAGGCCACAAACAATGACGAGCATTGAAAAGCGAACGACGTTGAAGTCAAAAAACCAAAACAAAGACGGGTCCTCAGTGGGCATTTGTGCCAGTGCATCAGGCGAATAGCACTGGACGGGAATCTGTCCATGCCGACTGCGGAACCAATTGATGTCGTTGCAAATATCTATCAGTTGATGAGGGTAAGCTCCAAAAGGAGTACGCATATCCAATTGGGCCGAACATAAAGGAAGGACAGGCACCAAACTCGGTTTGAGCACGTCATAGCTCTGTATATATCGCTTGAAGCAGAAATGCTTTCGCTACAATCAAACGCCGGGAGACACCGAAGTGTCTCCCCCAAATCGCCAAAATCTTGTATATCATATCGTCAACTCGTCGGCAAGACACGCAGTGCCTTTTTGTCAAGGTAACGAGACACCAGTGTCACGTTCAGACACCCCCCCTCTTGCACCTCGGGGAGTGGTCCATTTAGATGGATCGTTTTTTCTCATCATCTCTGGTGGCTTTACGTCCACCTCGCTCGCCGAAGTCATGGTGGGAGACACCTGCAGAGGTGGGTGCAGGGCCTCGACGAAGCATATTGCCCGCCGGGTCGTCGCTCTCGCCGCTACCTGCGCTGCTTCTGCTGCTGCGACTGACGGGGGAACCGTTGTCGGCGTCCATATCGGCGAAGGATGCCATCCGGTTGTGTGTGTACTCCAGCATAACGCGGCTATAATCCTCAACAGACATATGAGGGTTGACCGTGCGATTCATTTGAAGATGACTGTCGCTGGAAGGGCTTGTCCCTCCTCCATCGGGGTGAACTATAGGCTGCACGGTTTCGGGATGCTGCATGGAAGTCGTCATGATTGCTAGCTCAAAATGAACAGTTAGTTCACAACATCATCACAATGTGGGATAGCAGCGAGCATCCATGGCGGAGATATCGTCGTCTCGGAGGCGGCACCAACGACATCGCAGATCTGGGTCGGAAGAGGCGTTCGTTACGGCTGGCTTTCATGCGAGATAAGAGCTCAAACAACAGTCTCCCACTTACCTTCACCACGAGGATGATAGTAAAAGACGGTATCTGCAAGTCGAATAGATAGAAGTGTGAATGTGTGAATAGTCTCGATGCAAAGGCGCCACAAAGAAGGGTTGAAGATCCAATATAGAAGACCAACCTTTTGAATCCGTTCAACCGGCGCAAATTAATAGGGATGAGTATGGACAGCAAGTGCGACATGAGATCACAAGCGAACAAGCAGAAGATCAGAGTCGAAGCCACATTGGTCAGTCAGGCGTATGGCACTGATCCACAACGGCGACATGGGCACTTCTCCATTTTACTTCCACTTGCGCCATGATGTCATTGGTCCGAGGAGCTCTTCCAAAGACCTTCTTCTTAATACTCTGGAAGTATTGTAAAACTTCCCCCCGCTTTCATGACGCCCCAGTGATTCGATTAATTTTTATCTCACCTGGCACTTCAGAAATCGATCGGAATTAACCGTGCTCCAGAAAATGGGCCGGTGCAGCTCCAGATGGTCAGGCCGTCCACCATCCTCTTCAAAGCAAAATGAAGTCACGGAACAATATCACTGGGTCAGGAAACCCAATGGGCTCTGCCGATCCAACTCAATACTACTAAAAGGTCCCCTGCAGATCCGTGCTGACAGTGACGGGTAGCCCAGTCGGTCTCCGTGGGAGTCTCTTGCCTGCTCCGGAATAGTAGCGTAAGGAGGTAGGTGTGTGCCTATGTGCGCCGTATGAACAACGACAGCGCAAAACGATAGAAACAGCTACCTTGACAACGAAGTATCCTGCCGGTAGCAGGGTGACCTTGCACTTCGAATATGTCATTGACCGAGTCTAGTATTTCCTACTATAGCATGTGTGATATCAGCCATCTGCAAATGTCGAGGTGCATCATCGGCACAGGGGATGAAAGGACGACACCCATTTGCTCAGAACTGAGGAGTGGAGAAGTAAAAATGGAAACAGCTACCACTACTATGTAAAAGCCCTACCCACAGGTTCCCAAACCTGTGGGTATACGGAGTACCGAACTGGGAGTGTGGTCACCGAGATGGTATGTGAAACGATTTAATTTTTCTCAAGAGGCCCGAGCTTATGATGCATGTCTCTGGACACTGGAAGACAAGGGCCAGTAGAAGGGGGCCAGTGGGCTCTAGCCATGAAAAAGACTCCACCAGAAAAGAATGCTTTCGTGTGATAATGCCAGGAGCAGGAAGTGGTTATGGCGGACAACGTGTGCCTGAGGTTGGGCCCGTGACGTCAGGGGCGTCGACGGTTCTTGAAAAATCAAAAAGCAATACCTGGTTGGTCTTGGATACTATACTGTGGGCTACAACCTCCAATAGCCAGGGCTCTTCCATATGCACGATGGGTATGCAACTGGACAAAGGTCTAGTGTTATTGGGATAAGCAATGAGAGCTCTATCATGATCCACAACCCCCTTCACTCAGAAGTCAGACCTTCTCAGACCCATCGCCAAGTCATATGGAAACCTATTCCGATGATCTGGGATACTCCACAGCGTCCCTTCGAGGCTGCATACGGGGCGTGTCTGTCGGGAAAGCGCCTAAGTAATTCGGCTGACACATTCGCGAGAAGACTCAGCGCATAGTGCAGAGATTGTGAACTCTAAGCATACTTCAGCCTTTCATAACATCGTCTATCATCCCGAATGCATCAGAGACTAGCCCTTCCCCTGCACGCCAACCAATGGTGACGGACTAAGCTCCCCGATCAGCATACATGTTGCCACCCGGTGGATCTATCTATGCACAAAAATGCGAGGCTTCAGAAGCCATGCGCTTTCTGGACATCCAACAACTGTCATTATACGACCTGGATTCTAACGTCATACAGAGGCCGGGGATGATTCTTCCTTCACATCTACGGCGCTGCTCACACACCCTTATGGTTGCGCCTAGCCCCCAACTAACCTGCGGAATATTACTAAACATCTGGTGGATGATGTACACAGACTAGGGCTCCATTCGCTTATGTGGCCCTCCCCTGCCTCCCTCGGCGCGTTGCGATTTTCTGAGTGTTGGCTCTCGTATGCCAAGGAGGAAGGGATTGACTTCATGCTCACTGGAGGATAATCATGGTAATCATGATTGATCTCAGAATGGAAACAGGCATCATATATTTACTGTGACGTCGGTCGATATTTCGTTGGAGTATTCACTCTCCCCTTGTCATACCTACGTCCTTGTTTTCCTCTAACCCGTAGAGCATAGAAATGTAATCAATTCAAAAGCGGCATTTACGTAACTACCGAAAGGCACATTTGCGTCTAGATATGCAAGTTATTTTTCAGAAGATGACGTCCAAACTACCCACTCCATGAAGACACCAGACCAAGAGCTCAAGTCCAAGAGCATTGACCAGTCTCTCTGTTGCGTGGACCCTGAAGTCAAAAGTTGGTCTATCAAGAGCAATTAAGTCTCTCACACCGTATTATGAGTGAGTAACCAACCGGTTCCCAGGCTGGGCTATCTCCACCGCGACTACAAGCGTCTAGTAAGCGAATCGGTTCATTGATCAACACAAACCAACTACAATCAGACCATAGTACATTGATGTTTGAATCCACCGTTTTCAACGGAAAATAAAACAAGTTATACAGATATGCAAAGATTCTAGACCCTATAATCAGATGTAGATACAATAGGTGACGCCTCAATCAAAGAACATAGACACATTTCATGCTCATCACACATAACCTGCTTGCCCGTTAGTATTGAATAACCAACCTGAATTAAGGGAACATGGATGCGGGGCTGGGGAGCAGAGCCACTGAGAAGCACCCTAATACGTACCCTTCCTAGCACCCTGGAAGAAGAACCGGACAACAAAGACCTGCAGTCCAGCCATCGACACCATCATCAAGCCCTCAATGACGCTAAAGTTGAAAATCCGACGTTCAGTGCTACGAACAGTGCTGAAGTTACGGTTCTCACGGGTCCGGAAGTATTTCTGGTTTCGAGAAATGGTCGAAAGCTGGGCGGAAAGCTTGTAGACGGACTCCTCGAGAGCGGAGGCTTGCTCG